CCACATAAGCAGAGAAAAATAAATGCTGGAAGTAGCACTGTGGCTCAAGTGGTAGAGTGCTAGCCTTGAGCTGAAGAGCTGAGGGACAGTGGCCAGGCCCAGAGTTCAGACTCCACGAACAACAACAAAAAAAGTAGAGCATACATGGTTTGGTATTGTAGCAAGATCTGTTCAATCTTGAATTCTTAATTGGTTAGCTTTCATATTCAGGTAGTTGTAATTAATGTTTTGTTACATTTTATTATTAAATAGTCGTACAATCAGATTGCGGTTCCATGAGTCAGACTACAATGAGTACAATGCATCTTGATCAATGTTACTTTTTCCAATATTCTCCCTCATTTTTCTCCCTCCCATCCCTACCCTTGAGTTACATAGTACCTTGAATTTAATGACTGTCCCTCTTCCTTGCCCCCATTTGTGAGCTCCCATTACCTTCATTTTTTGTAGCATAACGCTGCCATTAAATCTGTTCTTTTTTTTTTTTTTTTTTTGGTTGGTCGTGGGGCCTGAACTCTGGGCCTGGGTGCTGTCCCTCAGCTCTTCAGCTCAAGGTAAACACTCTACCACTTGAGCCTCAGCCCAATTCTGACCTTTTCTGCTTATGTGGTGCTGAGGAATCGAACCCAGGGCCTCATGCATGGAAGGCAAGCACTCTACCACTGAGCCACCTTCCCAGCCCTGTAGATTGTTTTCATTTGGTTTGGTTTGGAGATTGGAATTGAATCTAGCTCCTTAGGCTTGAGCATTCTACAACTTCAGCCATGCCCCTCATCATCTCTGTGCAATATTTTTCTCTCACTCCCTATGAAAGCTATACTTAAAATTTGCATCTCTTTGAGATGCTTTGCCTGTTTCTTTTATTACAATAGACATCCTGGATAGATAAAATATTTATTTATTTATTTATTTTTGGGTCCGATTATGGGGCCTGAACTCTGGGCCTGGGCACTGTCCCTCAGCTCTTCAGCTCAAGGCTAGCGCTCTACCACTTGAGCCACAGTGCCACTTCTGGCTTTTTTCTTTTTGCTTATGTGGTGCTGAGGAATTGAACCCAGGGCCTCATGCATGCAAGGCAAGCGCTCTACCACTGAGCCACCTTCCTAGCCCCTTTTCTTTTTTCTTATGTGGTGCTGAGGAATTGAACCCAGGGCCTCATGCATGCAAGGCAAGCGCTCTACTACTGAGCCACCTTCCCAGCCCCTTTTCTTTTTTCTTATATGGTGCTGAGGAATCAAACCCAGGTCCTCATGCATGCAAGGCAAGTGCTCTACTGAGCCACCTTCCCAGGCCGATAAAATATTCTTTTGCTACCCTAGTCTATGCTAATCACCCTAACACTAGCAATAATTTGAGTGCTAGCAGTATTTTTTATCTGTGCTGGGGTGTATGTGTGTGAGTGTGTGCATGTGTGTGCGTGCGTGCAAGCACATTGGGGATACTATTGGGTGCTTTACCCACTCCATCCCCAGCCTTTCTTTGCATTGTCCTTTTTTTTGGGGGGGGGGTGCCAGTACTTAGGGCCTTGCACTCTTGCTTAGCTTTTCTTATAAGGCTGGTGCCACCTGGGCACAGCTTTACTTCTGTCTTTTTTACTGGTTAATTGGAGATAAGAGTGTCAGGTATATCTGCCTAGGTTGGCGTTGAACCGGATCTCAGACTCTGTTATAGTTAGGATTAAACTTGTGACCCATCAGCTCTAGGCCTTTACATTATACTTTGAAGGTCAGTAACTTAACCACAAGTCTTGGGTTGTATTTAATTCATTTTTTTTTCTGCAGCATAATGCTGCCATTAAATCTGAGGATTATTTTTTCACGTTCAATTTTCTTTTTTTGGCCCTGGGGCTTGAACTGAGTACCTGGGTGCTATCCCTGAGCTTTTTTTGCTCAAGGCTAGTGCTCTGCCACATTGAGCCATAGCCCAATTCCATTTTTGTAACAGTTAATTGGAGGTGAGAGTCTCATGGATTTTCTTGCCCAGGCTAGCTTCAAACCACGATCCTCAGATCTCAGCCTCCTAAGTAGCTAGGATTATAAGCTTGAGCCACCAGCTCTGGCTTTAATTAATTTCTTTATAATATTGAATATATTTCTTTTCTGTAGTAATTTAATTCTTCAGAGAAATCAGTTGCCCTTATATTAGAATATTTCAGTTCTTGGTGAAATTTTTTATTTTTATTTTGTTATTATAAAGATGATATACAGAGGGGTTACAGTTATGTAAGTCAGATAATGAGTACATTTCTTTTTGGATAATGTCAACCCTTTCCTTGCTCTGTGCTAGAATATCTATAATACATATTACAAGATAATGTGATATTAGGAAAATGAACCCGTAGATATGTATTTAAATGTGTTTTTTTCTTTCATGCATTTATTTCTAACGCATTTATAAGATTATTTCTTTGTTGCTTTGTATGTCCCTCCCCCACAGTGTAACCCCTGCTTTCACTGTATTTGATGTCAGTATAATTTGTGGAGGGGAAGGGGAAAAAAAAGTCCTTTAAATAAGGATACAGGTGGACCCCTTGCAACAATGAGAATACAAGTTGTCATGTCGAAAACGAACTTTACAACTTTGGTGGGAGGGGATTGGATGGGAGGGTGGGGGGAGGCTGGGAAGGGATGTGAAGGAGGAGGCTGCAATGCTTGATAAGAAATGTACTCATTATCTTGCCCATGTAATTGTAATCCCTCTGTACAGTATGTTCACAATAAAAAAAAAAAAGAAAAAGAAAATGTGGTATATACACACAATGGAATTCTATGCCTCCATCAGAAAGAATGACATTGCCCCATTTGTTAGGAAATGGAAAGGCTTGGAAAAAATTATATTAAGTGAAGTAAGCTAGGCCCAAAGAAACATTGGTCGCATGGTTTCCCTTATTTGCAATATCTAGTATATGTCTGAGTCAAGCAGAAAAGGTCAGATAAGGTGATGTTAGGGAAATGAACCCTAAGATATGTATTCAAATTTTTTTTGCGATGGTTTCTAACACATTTATAAGATTATTTCTTTGTTACTTTGTATGTCGCTCCCGCACAGTATAACTCCTGCTTTCACTGTATTTGATGTCAGTATAATTTGTGGAAGGGAAGGGGAAAAGCAAATCGTTTAAATTGAGATACAGTTGGACCCATTGCAACAATGAGATGTACAAGACATTGTGTCGAAAACGAACTTTACAACTTTCGTGCCAGGGGAGAGGGGGGCGGGGAGGATTGGGTGGGGGGACTGGGGGAGGATGGGAAGGGATGGGAAGGGGAAACAAAGGAGGAGGCTACAATGCTTGTTAAGAAATGTACTCATTATCTTGCCCATGTAATTGTAACTCCTCTGTACAGTATTTTCACAATATAAAAATAAAATAAAATGACAAAGTAAAAACTAAAAAAATAATACATATTACATATATATTATATATTTTGCCATTACTGGGGCTTGAACTCAGAGCATGGGCATTTTCACTGTGTTTCTTTTTGCTCAAGGCTAGCACTCTACCACTTGAGCCATGGTACCACTTCCAGCCTTTTCTATTTTTGTGGGACTGAGAAATCAAATCCAGGGCTTTATGCATGCTAGGCAAGTACTCTGCCACTAAGCTACATTCCCATTTTTTTTTTTTAAATCAGTTGTGGGGCTTGAACTCTGGGCCTGAGCGCTGTCCCTCAACTCTTCAGCTAAAGGCTAGTAATACTCTACCACTTGAGCCATAGCACCACTTCTGGTTTTCTGAGTGGTTTATTGGAGATAGGAGTCTCACGGTCTTTCCTGCCCAGGCTGGCTTTGAACCGCAGTTCTCAGATCTCAGCATCCTGAGTAGCTAGGATTACAGGCGTGAGCCACCAGGGCCCGGATCCAGTTTAGAATATTTTTTAAACTTATTTTTAGTTAAGTATACAAAGGAGTTACTGTTTAATATGTTAGAATATGTACAGTCAACCTTTATTTTCCTCATCTTGATGTAATATCTCACCTTTGAATTTTTATTTCACTTTTTTTATTTTTTTATTGTTTTGTAGTTTATTTCTGTTTATTTAGTTGATTATAGCTTGAGCATGTTTTTAAATTTGATGATGGAATATTTGAATAAATGTCTCCTAAACTAGACATTTAAAACTATATTTGTGCTGGGTTTCAGTGACTCACTTCTGCAATGCAGGTTACTCAGTAGGCCGAAATCTGGGAATCACGGTTTGAAGTCAGGGCTGGGCAGTGAAGTCTATGAAACTCTTATCTCCAATTAACCACCTAAAAGCCAAAAGTGGAGTTGTGGTTCAAATGGTAGAGTGTTAGCCTTGAACAAAAACAATTAAGGACAGCATGCAGTCCCTGGTCTGGCTCCAAATGTAAAGATAAAGATATAGATATAAAGTCATTGGAGAGGCTATCTGTAGAGATTTCTTCTCTCTTTTCTTATTTCTTTTTTTTTTTTTTTAATCAGTTGTGGGGCCTGAACTCTGGGCCTGGGCACTGCTCTGATCTTCTTTTGCTCACTAGCATTCTGCCACTTGAGCCACAGCGCCACTTCCGGCTTTTTCTGTTTATGTGGTACTGAGGAAATGAACCCAGGGCTTCATGCATGCTAGTAGGCAAGCACTCACTAGGCCATATTCCCAGCCCCGCTACTCGAAAATCTTGAATAGTAGTAATAAGTATTTGTAATGAGTATTTGTGCTGGATGTTTTGAATTTAAGGAGTTTTTTGGTGATGTTCTTTTTTGTTGTTGTCTTTATCCAATGAATAAACAAGGTTAGTAGTAAATGTCCAAAAGCATAATAAAATACATATATATGGAGACATCAAAATGCACTGAAAACCAGTGCATTCAGAGTACTGAAAGTAAATGTTTACTGGCATCGTCAGGTACACAAGTAGATTTTTTTTTTCTTGAAATAAAATGTTCATCAATGTTATTTTCATTAGCATGTGTGAATTATTTTTTAAAAAGCAAAGCTCTAGAATTTATAATCTTTTCTGTTTTCATCCCGTTTCAGTGTTCACAATAGTGTTTCAACTCAGAGTACTAACTCCCAACAGGTAAGATAATACTAACCTTCTAAAATACTGAATACACTAGGTAGTTAGTAAACTGCAGTAGCATTAATTGGAATTTCAGTGGTGTAACTTTACACAGTTTTTACATTTTCTTGTTCTTATCCTTAAGTAATATCTGACTCCTTACTCTTGCTATCCATAGATATAAAAAGAACAGATAATCTGTAAATACAAGAAAATAAAGTCAATAAGTAGTAAAGTTATCTATTCTAATGTAGTATATAAAATTTAAACATTTTATCACATTTATTCACTCTGTAGGTAATATTCCATTTTAATATTCTATATTAAATATTTTTTAGTATTTGTGTTTGTTAGTGTTCTGTTTGACCTTTTATTTAAGCAAAATCTGTGAATTTTATTTTTGTCCAAAGGCTTGGGGTGTACAGTCTTCTCCACCTGTGATTCCTTCCACATTTTCTGCTCCGGTGCTGGTAGAGATAGAGAATCTTCCACAGAGTTCTGGAACAGACCAACACAACAGGAAATGGTTTGTTAGCTCTTTAAAAATAATTACTTACTTGATTCCAAATCTTATGAGAACTATAAGTATGATTGAAAACAAATTATCCATATTTGTGAGCTGAGAAGATGACTACTAAGCATTCATTGGGAGATGAGGAAAGTAAGGTATGTGGAGGAAGAAGGGAGTAGACTTGTCTAAATGGAGAACATGAGACAGCTGTCTTTGTTTGAATTAATATGATCTGGGAGTAGTAAGTGATTCTCTGTTGACAATAATCTTCTTTGTAATAAGTAGAACCTTTTCCTAGATCATAAGGAAAATAAGTTTATTTTGTTCTATACACGTGACGTTCCTCATTAAAGACTGAATGTTATGCCAAAAGGAAACAAATTAGTCTAATAAAGTAAATCATAAAATATTACACTTTTTTGGAGATTGAGACAGAATTTGATGAGAGTTAATGTGTTTAATTCATTTATGTTACTAGTGTCTTTTTCTACATGAATGTTGAATACACAAATATGGATACTTTGTGGATGGTTTCAGTTAATCACTCAGGTTCATCCTTTTCCAGATTACTTAATGTGGTTTGGAGAAGGGCTTCTTGGGAATTAATTGACTGCATAATATGTTGGATGCATCTATCATTTATTCAGCTTTTGTGTCTATTTATTAAATGAACATTGATAATTCATAGGATTTTTTTTTCTTTTTTTTCTTGCTCTTAGTTTGTATAATACCTGAAATCTAATGAGTTTGTGTGGTGGTCTCAAGGTTTTGGTCAGCTTTCTGTGCAACCAGTTCTTCCTCGTGGTGGTGGGTCAACAGTGGTTGGTGATTACTTTCAGTCTTTGCTATGTAATTTTTTTTCACTGTTATTGTTGGCTTAACTAACTGCAGGATGCTTTGCTTTTGATGGTTGGGCATGATTTTACTTCAATTCCTGATAACATGGGTTTAAGATTCAAGGGGGGGATTCCCCACATTTTGTCATTTAAAATTTTCCTTTATAGTTGAGAATGTGGTAGGAGTAGTGTATGTTTGTGTGTGTGTGCGTGTATGTGTGCATGCGCACACCTGCATGCATACTTCAAATATAACAAGTGACCAATGTCAAGTTTTAGTCTTAAGTCTAGGAAAGTTTCTTCAACTTCTTATTGAACACACAGCTCCTGTAAGCAGCTATGCTTCATCTTCATCTTCTTAATGTTACCTATAAGTCCTTTTTTTTGTTGTTGTTGTTGGTTGTGGGGCTTGATCTATGGGCCTGAGCGCTGTTCCTTAGCTCTCAGCTCAAGGCTAGTGTTCTACCACTTGAGCCACAGCACCACTTCCAGTTTTCTGGTGGTTTATTGGAGATAAGAGTCTCACAGCCTATCCTGCCTGGGCTGGCTTTGAACTGTGATCCTCAGATCTCAGTTTCCTAAGTAGCTAGGATTACAGGCGTGAGCCATCATCCCATAAGTCCTTTTAACATGGACAAATACTTCATCTGTTTTAAAAAAATGATCTTAATATACTTGTTTTTTATTTTAATCTGGAATGGGAATCTGGGTAATTTGTACTCTGTTACATAAATGCTTATTGAAGTTTTCCATTTTATTTTTTTATTCTATTTTTTGTCAGTCGTGGGGCTTCTGGGCCTGAGAGCTGTCCCTTAGCTCTTCAGCTCAAGGCAAGTGCTCTACTAACTGAGTCACAGCACCACTTCCGGTTTTCTGGTGGTTTATTGGAGATAAAGAGTTTCATAGACTTTCCTGCCCAGGCTGGCTTTGAACTGCGATCCTTAGATCTCAGCCTTCTGAGTAGCTAGGATTATAGGTGTGAGCCACTGATGCCTGGCGAGTTTTTCCATTTTAATGAGTATATATTTAAAGGTGTTTGATATAATTTTTTTAGCTTACCAAGTTCCTTTGATGCAGGTTTTAGAGTATCTGCTTCGCATTTCAAGAAAAATGAAAACCTTGGAGCTGTGTGTCATCCTTGCTTTGTGTGTCTGGGCTGAGCCCTCCTTTGCTGGATGAAATAGAGTGGTGATCCTTATGGATGAGTCACAGAGTTCACACAGCATGGAACTGAGCATAGAGCTGGCATGTGTAGCAACTAATGGATTTTCTCACCTTAACTTAAAATGCATTCAATATTTTATTCTTTGTTTCTGCATGCTTTGATTTAAAATAATATGTAACAGTCCTCCTGTATCAGTAACTGAAAATTTATCACCCTTTGAGAAAAAATTTGTGAAAGTTAAGCACATAAATAAATCACTTATAAGCAAGCTAAGCACAGTGATGCATGCTTGCTATCCCAGCTTCTTGAGAGTCTCAGGCAAGAGAGACTCCTGAGCCCAGGAATTCTAGTCCAGTCTAAGTAATCTAGTAAAATCTTGTCTCAAAAAAATCAAAATAAAATACTCCTGTAATTATACATGAGAGGTATAAGTAAAAAGATCACAAGTTTGAGGCCTGGGCTCCATAGTGGCATCTGCCTCAAAAAAAAAGGAGAAAACAAAACAGAATTTAGAAATCTTGCATAAGAGGCAAGACATGAATCCAATTTAATTTTCTAAAATTTTGGAGACCTTGTGTTGAGGGTAATGATTTTGTAGGTTAGTTCTGATTAAGAAGTTATATTTCATTTGAAGGAAAGGCCATTTTATGGTTTAAAAACAAAACTGTCTGTATTTGTTCTGAAAATTTTATTCCAGTTTTCCTAAAGCTGAAAATGGATATTGAGAGCCCTGTGTGGCAGCACAAAACTGTAATTCTAGCCACTCAGAAGGTAGACCTCAGCCCAATCAACAAGCCAGGTGTGGTGATATACATCTGTAATTCCAGCTACTCAGGCAACATAGGTAGGTCTGAGGGCAGGAAAAAAAAAAAGATCAAGACCTTGTCTAAAAGAAAACTAAAGCAAAAAGGGAGTAAGGATCTTTTTCAAACATTGTTTTTGAGGTGACTTTATTCCTTTGTAGTTACTTGAATTATATTTTGCCATACCATACCATTTTGCCATACCATAAAATTTTGATTTGCTGAACCTTCACAAATGTTTTCTTTCTACTGGAAGACTTTAACCATTTTTAACCAAAAACTGCATGTGTCCATTTCACTCTTCCAGTTCTGCAGCACTGTGCTAAAAGGCATCCATTATGCTTGAATAGCTTCTTGGAGGGGGTTTATAATCTCATCACATTATCCTTGTGAGTTATAAAATTACTCTGAGAACAGAAGATTTTTCTTTTAATGTTCTTCTGAATTTTGTTTTCTAAATTTCAGTTTTTTGAAATCATTTGAATTTGAGAGATAATTTTTACACAATATCAGTTACCATATGCTTTTGTCTCTTTACAGTACTTTCACATATTTGAACTAAGTAATTATGAATATCTTCCTTTAAAAGATTAGTATTTTTCTTCTTCATTAATACACCAAACATGATTTCTGGCTTAGATAGTGACATCGGGGACAGATACCAAGTATGTCTTCCTCATTATGACATTTCTTTATTCATTAATTCACTTAACAGATTCTGATTATCCACACTGGCATTTTGATTTACATGTAACTTTATGGATATTCCCTGTTTGTAATTCTTGAATGTTATTGCATGGAATCAATGTTGGTAAAATACTGAGCAGTGTTGCATGCTAGTCACATTACCTTTCTCCTTTATTATCACTTACACATCCATTTTCTCCCTTTTCCTATTGACTAACTGTGCTCCCTCCCACTCCCCAACCATCCAGGCTCCCTGCTGCCAGTGACCGTTATCAACGTGGTGGAAACCAGTGGAACACAAGGGCCTTGCCCACCCATGCTGCACATAGAAACTACACTGACTTTGTACTTGAGCACAATGTGAAGAATGCAGGAGTCCATCATGATGTTCATTTCCCTGGCCATTCAGCCATGACCGAGATATGAGTTATTAAGCCTTTAGGCCTTGGGACTCTTATTATCCAAGTTGATTATATGTTTTCTGGTGTTTATAAAGAATTAATCACATTAGGAGCATATGGGAGGATTTATTTTTTACTGACTCACTAATTGTATAGTGTTGTTTGAGCTTCACTTCTATGGGAAGAGGATCTGAAGAAGCTGTATACCATCACTGACAATAATAATTATTGCCCTATTGAAAGAGTGCATATCACTGTGATTTTAGCATATTAATACATCACTCAGAATATCTCAGAAGGTTTATGATTATAAAAAGCTATCATGTACATGCCATACAAATATACTAAGGTTTAAAGAATAATATACTAAAAGCACACCCTAAAGGTTAAAGAATAATACACTAAAAGCACACCCTAAAGGAAGTATGTTCAGTTGTGATGCATCAGCCTTTTGTGATATTATAATAATACTTGTTCTTATACACTGTTTTAATGTCTAAACTGATCTGTGCCTTAATTTAAGTGCCTAAGGTTTAATTAATTTAAAATTTTAATATATTTTTACTCTTTAGTAAGCACAAATACTAAGACAAGTCTAGAAATTATAATAGCATTACTCATATAGGGAGAAAAATCCAAATAGTTATTTTGGCGTACTGAATGGTTATACCAAATGAAAACTATTTATTTCTTCTGTCTTTTTTGCATTCATCTCTTTTCTCTTTCATGGCATATAGTTTGATAGATTACCCAGGTTTTTAACAACCTCGTAATCTGGCCTTATACAACCTTTAAAATAAAGTTCTGGAGTCAAACCACTATTTGGGGTCCTTTTAAACTTTGGAATATAATTATTTAAACTCTTTGGGTTAATTTATAGAGGAAGGTTATTAGCTGGAAAAGGTATATTTTTTGATGGAATTGCAGTGATTCAAAGGAAGCATTTCCTTTTTTTTCCCCAAATTTTAGAAAAACTTTGAAAATTTTAAATTAGGTAAATAGAAATTTGAAGATATTTCATATTTTGAGATCTCCCTACTTCAAGATAAGGAAGCTTCATTGTAAACATTCTAATCTGTTTAACTCATTCTGCTTGCCCCACATTGGTTTTATTTCCCATAAA